TCACTGCCGGTGACAGGGAAATACTGCTGCTGCTAACTACTGCCTTTTGCTCTAAGTTATAGCGGCACGTATGGCTCTAATGCCACGCTGGCTCCGCGTTCATATTTTTTTTTCCTCCTCTTCTCTTGCACCGTTCCTTTCATCTTTGTCAGATGATTATTGCGTCTAAGAACTGTCAAATGATAACGAAATAATAGCTCCGTCACAATCTGTAAATGCTTACTCGCAAAGAAAAAAGAGAAATGGTCACGTTTCTAAAACATTTGACTTGCATCAGTTTTACAATGCAAACGACTCTACGTTTCAAAATCTACAAGTCTGCTTTTATATATTAGAAAACATGTCGACTATGTTTCCTAAATTAGTCTCAATTAATCTTTTATATTAAATATCTTGTATTTTATGTAGCAAATTTTTTATTTTTTTTTTTAAAGCAAAGTAACAAATAGCTCAAATAGCCATTAATGATGCACAATAATGTACTCTATTACAATCAAATTATACAAATTACACAAATAAACATTACAACGTCTTAATTATCAGTATCTGTAAATATTAAATTTTTTATTTGCAATGCATTAAAATATCAAAATGTTTCGTTTCGTACTGAAAAAAAACCGCTTTAAAAATTTTCAAAGTCAATGAATAGTAACTATTCACTTTAACGTAAGCTGACGAATGCAGGCTGACCACTTCAAACTCTCTTGCTTACTTGCATTTCTTTTTATCATCCTTTAACCACTCTTGGTGAAGTCGTCGGTATCCTACTTGGCATCGCCTGATCCACTTGACTGGAGCATGTCCTTTGAATTTAAACTCAGTCGCGAGTTTCGTAATGAGGAAAATATGACCAGACCTCTGCGCGCCGAGTCGCTGCTCTGCGAGCGTTCAAATTATCGTTATGATGGCGACGTGATGTGAAAGAAAATTCACTCTCTCTCTACTAAGTATATACTTTACGCTATCGTAATTAGGCGGATAAGTTAGTTTTGAAATCATAGATATGTATCCAAGAGGAATTAAAAATGTTACCTTTAATACCAATAATATGTCAGATTACATCAAATGATATATCTTTCATTATCTCTTCGTTTTTACATTAGCAAAACATTCCAGAAATTTGGTTTTTAAAATGGCAATAACAACTTATATTCGACGTGTAGCACGACGCATATTTACTGTGCATTTTACTGATTTGTGTATTTAAAACACAAAATATTAAATTTTTAATTTAAATTTAATTAATAATTTACGTAATGTAAATTATGTAAGTCTAGTTATTTGCTTTCTCGAAACCTGCTCACGGTATAATTTGCAGCAATTCTTTTCTTGTTGCCTATTTCCAGTGACATATGTATTCGCGTATAACATTGCGAATACATTGTACGTCAGTTATTTCGCCAATACTGTAACAGACGTTTCATTTCACGGCTACTATTCCGAAGGCATCGTCTCACATGTAACGTTTAACATTTCGAGCACGCGCTCCAGGTAGTGGATCGCGCGCCAAGCTTCCGCACGAATGTCTAGGACTTATGTGATTTCCCATTTACAAGAATCGCGCTGCAGATCGTATCGTAATTACATGAAATTTTTTAACTGTCCCGTTCAAGATGTGGAAATGTTTAATCTCTTTAATTTATTTTAGTAACGCCACAGAGAAAACTTATATATTATACATAAATTATTTTTAAAAAAACATTTTATATTTTTTATTCAAAAAGTCACAAAACTCATCGTAAGTTCGTAGTATAAGTATACGTATATTCGCGTGGATGTGTTTTGAAAGAAGCAAACAGTCGTTAATGAGTAGATTACACGAAAGGGAGAATTGCAGAATGTACATTACAGTACATGTGCTTGCGAGTTTTATAATCAGATCGCAGATTTAATAAATTAAATCGATTTAATAAATTAAATAGATTAAATTAATAAAATCTTTATTCTGTTGTTATTGCAATATTAAAATTGCAAACAATAATGTTTTCATTTAATATTGCCAATATTATATTAATCTTGCAAACATATTAATATTGCAAATATTATATTGCAAATATTATATTAAAAGAAAAAACAATAATTTAATATATTATAGAGCTCAATGTTTTGTATGTCTTATTTTGGCTGAGTTCCACTTGGTGATCGCAACACTCGCAAACATTATCTATCTTTCTTTAACTTTCGATGAAAAACAAAGATAAAATGTTTCCACAAGCGTTACGATCGCCAAGTGGAACGTACCTTTTGTAACTAGTTTTATATAAGGTGTTGTGACGAAAAAATTTGTTTATATCATAAGAGTAGGCCTACTTCAATACTCGTCGAGCGAGATGCCACGCTATGATATCGTGCGGCATTAGATTAAAAACAACGATTCGGATTGGTTCTCGAAGTCGATTGGTTCCGTGGTAATCTAGGATTTTCCTATATATATGACTATCGTTCCGAAGACAGACAGAATTTAGAAGTTATAGCGATTAGAGAAGCCGAGTCTTGTACACTTCTGTATTTTCGCGGCTAAACCGTGAGTGCACGATCTAAGCTACGTTCGGAAACCTCACACTCTGTGTAGTGTGGTGATTTTCAGTGGAGAAGTAGTGAGGATATCGTGTGCCTTCGGGTGTAGAGTGTTTCCGAACAGTTGGTTGTGCGTTGATGGATATTTTGATTTCGATCGTGTCATCCGGACAATCTATAGTGACACTAAAATCTAATTGTCCTGAGTCGGAGTTTCGATCTCCTTGTCCCACGATCAATCTTTTAATTCAATCTAGGAATCTCAGGTAATTTTTTGGCGTCACGCACTTCTAAGTATTATAT